ATTCATGTGCTAATTAACTAACATTAAAAAAGCTGTTTTAATTCATAAAACCCATCTGGTTAATCTGGCCCACAAAGCATGCTCTGGAAAGCTAAAAGCAGAATTTGGTCTGTAAACAGAAAACTTAGAACAAAAGAAAACTTTTTTTTTTTTTTTTTTTTTTGTGTTTTCAATTATGTATGAAACGCAATATAACTTTGCGTTTTCTTCATCAAACGCAAAAATTTTCTGGTAAAACGCATTTTTTTTTTTTACGTTTATGATTTTTTTTTTAAATTAAAATTATATTAAATTCCTTCTCTTAATTTAATCATAAATTAATCAATGGTTTCCAGTAAAGCTGCCCATCACGATTTCAAGACATGTCTTAAAAAAAACAAATCAAGTTATAGAATCACAGGCCAGCTTAAAATTTAAAATCTTCACGCAAATGTATGGAAATTTAAAATCACGACAATGGCCGCCATAATTAAAAAAGAGTAATTACAAAAGTAGATAATAATCAAATTTATACGATAAAAAATAAAATACAAGGTAAATTGACTCTGACTTAGGCTTCTTTTAGGCTAATTTTTAAAGCATTTTTTTAGTAAAATAAATTTAATTTTTGTACTAAAAAAATTCCTTTAAATTCTTTTAAAATTTTTTTAATTTTAGGGTTCATTTGTGCGGCTTTTTACTGCTTTTTAAATCAATTTTTAAGTAAAAAATAAAAAAAAATTGTATTAAAATGCTGCTTTAAGAAGCAATAAGAAAGTCGTGCCAAATGAAACATTACTGCTTCTTAAATCATCTTTTAGTACAAAAATTAAAATTTTTTACTAAAAGGCTGATTTTAAAAGCAGCAAGAAAGATGTTCCAAACGAGACTTAGCAAAGTTTTCTTACTGCTTTTTAAAATAATTTTCTAGTACAAAATTTTTAATTCAAAAAATTTTGGTATTATATATCTGCTTTAGAAAGCATTAAAAAAACGTCCAAAATGAAGCCTTAGTACAAATAAATTAATATATGACACGCTGCAAGACAATAACTCATAAACTTAGCATATTTTTTAGCCAAATTAACAGTTCTGATGACAAATGAGCATTGATTTATTTATTTTCATTCAAAGCAGACCATACAGATACTCCAAAACTGATAATTACTGGATGAATAACATATTTTAATTATATAACATCAACATGCAATTCAAAAATAAAATAAAAATATAAAAAATTATGGCCGTTATTAGGCTAAGTGTTGAGCCTAACACGCCAATAGACTGATCAATAATCCTGAAATTTTTTATTAAAAAAAAATCCTATCTTCCTCTACAATTCAAACAATTGTTAAGTGTTCTGCTAGGCGTGTAAGCGATTCGGGCCGAGTCGAGTATCTACCTAATAGAGTTGTGCTCGAATTCGACTCGTTAAAAAATTTTAGGGTCTAGCTCGCGTGTTTGGAATGCTCGAGCTTGACTTGATTGTTTAGCTTATTTATTTAGATTTTTCAAGAGTTTTTTCTTTTAATATATGAATAAATTTAAAAAAAATTAAAATATATTATATAATGCTAATTAAAATTTTAAATATATTTGAAATTAATCGAGCAATTCAAGCAGCTTACGAGCCGTGCCATGATGAGCTTGAATATAGGCTCAACCTCAAACTTTTGGCTCCATAAAATCGACTTGTGCGAGTTCATTCACGTGTCGAGTTTGACCTGATTTGCTTGTCATTTATGTTTTTTAAAATATATTTATATAAAACAAAAAGAAGAACTCATTCACAATGTCCTATTCATAAAAACGCAAGAGATCTTAATTAGCAAATCAGTTGTTTGATGATTTATGAAATAGTTTAAGACTTCATTTGAGACAGTTTTCTTACTGTTTTTTAAAGCATTTTTTAGTATAAAAATTAAAAATTTTATACTAAAAAGTTGTTTTAAGAAGCAATAAAAAAGTCATCCCAAATGAAGTATAAAATTTCTAAGTAATGAATAGTTTGTGAATGCCTTATTATTATTATTATTATCTATAATTTTTGTTCTTAATCCATGTCTTATTTTTTAAACTACTTATAGTCTTGCAATAGGGCTTTGGAAATTTCATATGATCTTGTTAATAGCTATGTACTTTTATCGTTATTGTTTTATTTTTTGTGCTATATAATGTTTTATGTCCTAATGTTATTCAGAATTTTTGTTTTGAATAATTTAAGTTTCATATAGTATGATAAATTATTTTTTAATTGCTTGATACATATTTTTATTAAGTCTTAATACATTTTCTTCAATTTATTATATAATAATCAAAATAATTAAAATTAATTAATAAGTTTATTCCGCAATAATAAAATAAAGAATCATATCATGTAATTCAAATAATTTATTAATATTTTGATTAAAATTTAAAGGTTTAGCTACTTAATATTTGTGATAAAAAGCTATTTTTTACAACTAAAATTGTTAATATATGGTAGCTTTAAGAGAGCATATATTCGATATATATAACTTTCATAATAACTGTTAAAAAGTTATTTTTCACACAATAGTTTTATGATCAACTTTAAAAATAAATCCTATAAAGCTTCATTTGAGACAGCATTCGTACTGCTTTTTAAAACGTCATTCCAGTACAAAATTTTTAAATTAAAATTTTTTTTGTACTAGAAAGGTGTTTTAGAAAGAAAGAAGAAAGCAGTCCCAAATGAAGTCTAAGGCTTCGTTTGAAACGGCTTTCTTATTGCTTCATAAAACAGCTTTTTAGTATAAAAATTAAAATTTTTATATTAGAAAGCTGTTTCAAGAAGCAAAAAGAAAATACTCCCAAACGAAGCCTAAATCAAAATATTAAGAATTATTGTTATTATTTTCTCAATAGGATGAATCGTTAGAAAGTGCTTTCTCAATTGTGAAGAAAACTACAATCTCTAATAAGGATTACAATAATATATCAAATATCTGATATTTTCTATGCCGACATATAAAAATAGCAATCTAATCGGTACATGATCCATTCCTTCATAAAAAAACCAAATAAAATCGTAATTCATGACTCTGATTTTTTGTTTTTTTCTGAATTAAAAATTATATATAGAAATGAAAGAGATCAATTAAAGAAACGCTTATTAAAGCTTGTGGAAATTCCGAACTGTAATTAGGGGGAAATAAAGATGCTAATATGATGCATGATTTGGTGATAAACATGTTTTAATTAATAATTAATTAGCGATGGATTTTGATTAATTTAATTAATTATGTTTGCCGGGCTTAAAGGATGTGCTCTATTATATTATTAGCGAGTAATTTAGTTTAGGTAGGAGAAGTACATCAATCGTATATATATTTAAAACAATGGCATGGTGTGAACAAGTAATGCAAATTAATGAATATTATGGAGAATAAGATTGCTTAGCTAATGAAACCATGGGAAACTAATAGGAAATTATGAAATAAGGACAAGGAGCATCTCATATTTTCTTCTCTTCCAACCTAGAGAAGATGATTCCCTTTATCAATAGATCAATTATTGCTAGTTAATTATAATTTCATTTTTATTATTTTTTTTAATTTACAAAAATAATATTGTTACATGCGTGCTAGCGATTATTTTGATAAGAAAGATACAATAATATGATGAGAGAATTGAAATGAAGATATGAAACTTAACTTTTTTACGTGAAAAATCTGAAAAGTAAAGAAGAATGCAGCCTGACCTAATCGAAGAATTTGCACTAGTTATAGTGAAAAATTATAATTGGTCCAATGAAATTGGAGAAGACATCTTTTAGAGTATAAGAGAAGTTGACTATAAAAAGTCTCTTATTGTGGAGTAGGGAATATTTAAAGTGTTGATGTTGATGGTGATGAAGAGTTGCCATAAGCATTCTTTAATTTCTTTTAGAATGAGGGTTGAATTAGACAAGTATCGTAATAACTGGGTGATTACAATTGGGCAACAATTTTTAGGCAATGATAGTCTGGCGAATATATTAAGCGATGATAGTTACGTGGATGTGGATGAGCGATGATACTCATATGGCTATACTCATGTAATCTGGCTATATTAGTCAAGCGAGACAATCAAATGATTATAAATAGTAAATAGATATCAAGTGATGACAACTATGTAGTCACACGATTGTATTTGGATCGATGACTGTGATTGGAATATAATAATTGGATGACAATGGTTTGACGATAATAGTTAGGAGATGATAGTTGGAAGATAGTATTCGTATGATTGTAGTCATACAACAGTGCACCTATGATTGAGGAATTGAATAATTATAGTCATATGAGAAAAGTTAGTTCATAGGGGTTATATGGCATTTGTTAGGAGTTAAATGTTAGATGACAGTAGTCTCGTGACTATAGTCCGTTTGTGATATAGTTAAAATATTATAAACACGACAATTATGTATAAAAAAATGTACTTCGTTGATTATGATTGGGCAATAGCACTCTACTTTAT